TATCATTTTTCCAAAACCTGAAGGGGGAAAGTTTTCAATTAATTTTTGTTTGTTCCAATTTAAGAATTTTATTTTGTTTGTCTATTACTATTTGTTACTATTTTCATGTAACTTTTTTTTATAAATATGTAAATGCAAATTAATTCAATAAATAAGTTTATTTAAAATTTACATTGATTGTTTATGAATTCAGAATGGGGGGGGGTAATATCGACTTACGCAATAATATTTTGGGGTAATGGTTAAAAAAGTTCCCCGACCGCTGGTTTACAGTGATATAAAAAGTGATGGCTATGGGGAGAAGTGGAATAACATGTTCTTAAAGGAAACATAAAATAGGTTTAGAGAAAGTGGATAAGATTTGGGAAGGATATATTGTTTTATCCTTCTAAAGCTGCATCAAGTTAGGTCATATTAGAACAATCCTTAAACCATTTGAAGCCCACATTTAATTAATTTAATTGGTTTTCTTGGTATTCATCATTCAATCCAGGATAATAAAATTGGTTTAGAGAAAGTGGATAATATTTGGGTAGGATATATTTTTTTTTATCCTTCCAAAACCGCATCAAGTTAGGTCATATTAGAACAATCCTTAAACCATTTGAAACACACATTTAATTAATTTAATTGTTTTTCTTGGTATTCATCATTCAATCCAGGATAATTTTCTATCAAAGTTTTAACAGAGAATGTAATAGGTATTGACTTATATAACTGAACGCATATATACAGGATTGAAGTCTGTGATCGTGGTAGATGTAATCTATTCCATAAGTTTCTGAGGTCGATGCAAACTTTAAGGACTCATGGTCCACATATATATAAAGATTTAAAAATTGTCCTTAGGTGCGTCACTTACGATTAGCATCATAAAGAAAATTCCGGCCCAAAGCGGAGCGCCAGGAAGTTTAAGGACGACTTCCGGGTACGTGAGGAAGACGAGACCGGGACCATTCTTAACCACATCCCCAACACCGGCGTCGTGCTCGAGCGCTATGTGCCCCAGAATCGAGAAGGTCACGCATCCTGCCAACAGTGATGTGAACGTGTTTATGATGCACGTAATGACCGCATCTCTGTAACAACAACAAAAAAAAAACTATAATTATCATATGCTAAAGCATACGTCTTCCTTCAGACAACGCTCACCAGTTTAATTATACCTTTCTTCCGTCGCCAGAGAGGAAGAGACAGAGTCCCCAAAAACTAATTCTAATCGGGTTTATTAGGATGATTAAATTTCGCTACTGGAGAGGCTTTGTATTTGTTTAACACTGCGGATTAATTTTATGACACGACGCTAATGAAATTGCCGGAACGGACGACAGAATGAATTCCATTTTGCAAACCCCTTGCTCGCAGCAAAACGACGATTAAGCCGGAACCGTGGGGGTGGAAAGGTGCAAAAAATATATATGAATGAGAGAGAGAAGAGCAGCAGCAGAAGCACGAAGCTCACGGCATCAACACGACATGGCATACCGTTATTAAAACGTCAAATTTGCAGAACTGTTTAGCGTACTTCGTTAACAAGTCTAGGGTAAATATAGACATACTACGTTGCATTATTCATAAACATCTCTTCGCTTAGTTCGCACAACGAAATGCATTGTTCAATCATTGAAACATCAAAGAAATCGATTCGCTTCAAATATACAGATCACCTCTGAATTGTGTGACATATTGAGACCGTACACTCACATAATCGTGATTTACGACTGCATCGATACCATCTGGTTTATATATGAGAGAGTACACATCCACTGCAAACGCTCGGAATTTACAACTACAATTTAAAGAAATTGCACCAAAATCAAACGTTTATTAAATTCCAGCGCGGTTATTGAAACTTACGCAAACATCGTTTCTATAACTAAAATTAAAAACGAATATGCTTTAAATATGCATGAAAATAGTGAAATTAGACTGTGCGTGACGTTTGCAATGTGCAGCAATTAATTCTTCGCGATTCAATAAATCTACAGCTAAAAGTCTCATTTACTCAAAGGGAATATTCATACGCAATTACTCAAAAAACTATAGCTTTCTTGCTTAAACTATATTAACCTTACAAACAAATATGAATAATATTCTCACAATACTCTACTTTATTCGATAATCATTTAATCCAATCCAATTGAAGAAATAAGGGTAATTTCAGCTTTTTTTTTATAATGAATTTAACGCTGAAAAAAAACCATAATTAATACTTACAAAGTTTTGTAAATCTATCATAATTTTAATGCTTAATAAATAACAAAAATCATTGATTTATATAACTGTACACGTTTCTGCATTGCAAATACGCAACAGATCGCCAGTTTGCAAATTGTAATTACGGAATTGCCATGGGGTTTTAATGCGCAAATAATAATTGCTTTTCGAACGTTAATTTTATGCCGAAAACACCGCTTCGTTACGCGCTCAAAACCCAAAGTTTATTTCATTTTTTTTTTTTTTTAGTTCGCTAGTAACAATTATATAATACATATATTTGCATGCATACGTACATCCGATTAGTCGTGGGAGCGTTATAATTAATTATGAAAATTAATTAAATTTAAACCGCAACTAATCAACTGGTTTCATTATTATTCACGAATTAAATTGAACTGAAAAATAAATTTAATTGGATATTATTTTTTTTACATTCATAATTGATTACCGATCGAATTGAAAGAAAATATTGATTGATTCTACATTGATTGCAAAATTTATATGTGTTTGAATGTCTGTTAAAATCGATCGAAACGTTGCTGCAAACGTTCAGAAATTTGCATCTCAATATTGCATCTCGCATAATTTAAATTGGATCCAATTCCGAATGCTGCACTCCCTAATTGGCGTCCCAATAAATACGTTTCACTGCGTTCATCAATATAACAAAAAAACAGTCGAAATGAAAAATTGTAAAGCACAAAAGTTATATGTAAACAAATAATGTATAAATCAACTTTTTTTGAGAATATAGCAAGTGTTTTCAATCAACAGTGCAAGGATCATTATCGTCCTATTTTTAGTGTGTAGCTGTTGTAGATGGCATCGATTAAGCAGTATGCAAAATGGAAACACGTTCCGGTCTAATTGGCACCGTTTTGGCCTCTGGAGAGACTGTGTAAATGGGCTCATTCTGAGGGGTGATGGTAGAAGGGTGGAAGGGACCTGCGTACGCGGAAACTCACTTATAGCAGTTATGATGAAACTTGTTGTAGGATCCGAGGGCTGGAAGGGCGCCGCAACCTATGCTGTAAGCGAAGAATATCTGCGTGGCGCCATCCATCCATGGTACAGGGCTCAGCAACTCTTCCCATCTGGGAGTTATGTAGTAAAGTAAACCATCTCCGGCGCCCTCCAACGTCACAGCCCTTGCCAGCAGGATCAGAAGGACCACGTAGGGAAATATCGCTGAAAACCAGATGATCTGCAACGATGAATACCAAATTCATTTTTTTTTATTCTGCCTGCAGCTATTTTACTTAGATTATACAATTTTTAAGTAAGATCAATATTTTAATTCATTATGTAACTAAATAAATCATACAGAAATAATTGATTAATTAATAATAAATCTGTCCTTGACATTTTAACCTATGTTAATTATATCAAATAAATATGAGAAGTACTTAAATGGGAAACGATTACGAAACAATTTGAGGACAAAATAAGTTCATTTTAATTGTAACGAAAACAACACCAATTACGTTCTTAATAATTTAGTTGTTTTGAAAACTGCGCATTAATAATTAATAGAATTGAAAAGAGAAGAAAAACAATTCGTACTTTTCTTTACGTGATTGGGAAAATTCATCTTAATTATTCAATGATCATATATTATATGCAACCAAACTATCACAACAATTTATAGCATTTTTGCTGATAGAATCAATAGAAAATAGCTTAACTTAACTAAATCTTTATAAGACAAGTGATTAATGATGGATTAAGATTATAGATTTATATGGAAATCGATTTGTACATACTTTACCACTCTGATGTAATCCTTTCCTGATGATGGCATAGATCAAGATCCAGCCGATGACGAGACAGGCGAAGAGGGCCCATTGAAGGCCTCCGATGTCCTCGATTCCGGTAGAAATACCTAAGACCTTGTGACTGAAAGTGTATTAAATAAAAATTGCAATAAATTTATTTAATCCTGAAAAACAAAATCAAGACAACATCTCTTTATAAGAATATCCAGTATACCAAAATGAAGAATTTTTGTTTTTGGAGAAGAAGGTTGTGAACGTGAACTTACTCGAAATATTCTTCGACCGGTGATGTCGATTTCCTCAGGATGGTTTTATTGGTGTTCGAGATGGAAAAATTATCGAAGCAATCTTTCGTGTTCCATCTGTTATCTGCAATACATAATAACTTGAATGAATTTCAAAAATATTTATTAATTAATTATGCGTTAATCAGTAACAAATAAGTCGATATCAGAAGTTTATGTAAGGTCAGAGATTGTAAATTCCATATTTGTGTGTGGGTTTTACCGTAACAACAATATCATGTGCAGAGTTCAAGAAAAAGGAAGATGATTTTGGGTATATATTGATGCTGATCCTGTATTTGCATCAGACGCTTCAAGTAATTCAACAATCATGAAATTCTTTGTATTCGCTTTACTTCTGTTGACTGGTAAGTGGTTGCTTTAAAATCTATTGAATGTTATATAAACTTATGTTTTGTGTTTAGGGTACCTTTCAGTGCCAGCTCAGGCTGCACAAAGGGCTACAGTGAAACTCCTCATGCACGATTTGGCTGGTAACGCTTTACCTGCCAGACTCATCGGCGGAGCTTTAAGTTTGACCGGTGAAGGTGGCAAGCATTGGGCTATAGTCGTGCAATTCGATGGGGATGATCAAGTATATCTGTGCGAACTGCACAGAGATCCCAACACCGGAAACAAAGGATCCGGAGGTATCACTTGGATTTGCGAGAGAATGACAAAGGAACAAGTCCTTAATGGTAAATCCGGAGTTCACGTATACAATTTCGGAAAGGTCGATCTGACACCAGAGCAGCTCAAGACGTACTGCAGGGAAATCAAATTCAACGGTCAGGATTACAACTTGATCCTGCAGAATTGCCAGCACTGGGCTAAGGATCTTATAGGAAAATTGGGTCTGTCAACTACCTGGTTCAATATCAAAAGCTTCTTGGAGAAGACCACAGGACCAGGATTCTTCTACTCTCTCTTCGAAGGTCACAAATTATAGTTTTTTTATTTGTAAATCATTGCTTCGAGCAACATCAGAATGTTAATATATTAATATATTAAAAATTATGTTGTTTGTTATAATCCCGAGGATAAAATAGATAAATAGGGTAAGGATAATTGCATTTTCTTGAAAAACCTCTGGACGTATGCCATACGATTCCTTGGGATTCCACACACATTGTGCATTTATTTGCAGGCCCAAGTGATATTTATAGCCAATTGCATTCATTTGATTATACAATCCCAAATTATTTTTGCTCACATCAGTTTGTTTATTTTTTGTGCTTCTCACGGTCACATGAGAGTGATTTGGTATGGAACACCTCATTTAATCATTTAATTTTTTGTTTCATAGAAAAATTATATAACAACGATGCATCATTACGACAATTTGCACAACGCAAATCCACGTTTCAGCACGATTTCTGTTTGGAACAAAGTGAACAATAATAAAGAAAAAAAATAAAATAGAGAAGGAAACCTCTGACGTTTAGGTTGTAATTAACGTTCGGAGACAATTGGCATGAGTACAGACGTTTCGGGAAAAAAAATTGCAATCACATGGTAACGCAATGGACACGTGTGGGGCGAAAATATTACGAAAATAGCGAAACGTTTATTTAAGGTCGCAATAGTCGCAAATTGCTACTGTTTTCGATGTAATTACAGAGTGGAATAAAAAGAAATTACGTAAACAGATAATTACTTACCGCAATTGGACCATGGTAATTCTGGAAGGACCGCAAACGTGCTTATCAGATAGAACAAGGTCCACGCGATGATGATACAATAGTAGACGTCCAGCAGGAAGACGATGGTCATCGTTGCGTAACCGACGCCCTTGAATATCGGGCACAATTGACCGACGAAGGTCATTCCTCCAGCTCCCAAGTACTGGCCGATCGCCACTTCTTGAAAGAACATCGGGATACCGCAGAAGAGCATGGCTATGGAATAGGTGACGAGAAATGCGCCTAAATTGAACAAAGCATTATTATTAATCATCGTAAACAACATCAAATTGATTAATACCTCCGCCATTCTTGTAACACAAGTAAGGAAATCGCCACACGTTTCCTAATCCCACCGACAAACTAATGCACGAGAACAGGAAATCCAACTGGTTATTCCAGCCTCCTCTCTGCGAGCTATCCTCTTGATCCTCAACGCCGTACTTCGTGCACTTTTCCTGAGCTTTCGGTATCAGATTCTCCGGCTTCTGCTGATCATACTTTAGGTAATAGTCACTGCTCTCTTCACTTTCCTGCTTCGGCCTGTTCTCATTCCAAAAGTACATTTTATTTGACATTTTATCTGCAAGAAAAGAGTTCAAGAAAAGTTGATTTTAATTAAATTAATTGTTTTTAGAATTACACATATATTTCAAATAATAATTATAGAACAGCAAGAAACATATTGGATTCAATACAATAAACTATTTTATTAGATATTTAATGATAATATATGAATATTTTAATATTTTAATACAAACATTTAGTTGAAATTCAAATTTTATTGGTTCAAATCTGTATGTATTTATATACTCACTGTGAAACTGATTATACAATTCAAAAGTAAATTAGTAATCAATTAGTGATTGTGCAAAGCTATGATCTTCTATACTAAATCTACATTAGTATTATTTTTGTTACCGTATTTAACGCCTGCCATAGTCGCGCGATATTTTCGCGTACTGAATAATTTGAATGGCGGTCAAGTTTAAGAATGTATTTTTGGGTCTTTTGGCACCCGAATGTGGGTTAGATGTTGGACTAATTAAGGTGGTCAGTAAACTCGTGCAAAGCCAGCCAGGACGAAGGACAAACGTAGGATATGTATATGTGTATATGTGTGCAGTTGCATCAGTTTTAATCAATAGATTCGTGGATTAGGGAACGGGAAAGAATCGATTGTGTGGCATTGACATTGACTTGCACAAACATTCTTCGGTCACTTTTACCGAAGTTGCATCATCATTTGTATTTCGGAGACAACAGTCGTGCATCGTGTAGGACTTCTATTATTAAGCGAGCGAGTGTAGTGGCTTCAGGACGAAATGAAATTTAGAAGTAAAAATCATCAATTGGTACCAATCAAGTCTTCATTGTTTGTTTACAAAATATTGCATCTGTCCAATATCGGGCCCAATTGGCGTGTTCGCACGACCAATTGATCCCGATCGATTATGCAATAATCTACAGACGTAATTCGTCAATTCGGACGAGTTTCGCGCTCGTCTAACATTCCTACACGAATTAAAACTAAATCAGACGGCAACCACACATGTGTTTCTTCTCATCCAAACAAATTCATTTATATTCCATTGACACTGACTTTTCTACTTATTGCTTCAACAAATAATTACAATAAAATAAAGATATTTGTAGACAGAAAAAACTATAATCAATAGTCATTGAATTACAGATTTAATTTTTGAAAAAGAAGTTTTTCAGTATACAAACTTTAATATCTAATCTCTTATTTACTTATGTTTATCATAAATATTATGCAGTTTCCTTAAAAACAAGTAATTCCTAGAATAACAGTTGTGTTAATCTAAATCCCAAGATAAATCTTTCAATTTCCGAAACGTACATTACCTAGGCTAACATAGACGTTTATTTGTTTCCATGACATTTAGTTTTGTACAATAACATTGAAAAACATAAGATTAGAAGTAAATTAATAACAAATAAGAAACGAAAACAATTATTTAAGTTTATCTAAATTTAGAACGATTTTATCATCATAATTTTCATAAATAAACATTTCTAATAAATAATATTTTCATTAAATTTGATTATAATTCATTTATTTATATATTATAGTTTTATCACTTTTGCACAGTTAAACAAATTTCTTGACTCACTTAATTAATTGTGATGCAGAATTTTCATAAACATTTAAAGTAAAATAACGTTGAAACTTTGCATGTGAATTGCTAGGAGAGAACAGAACACAAATATCAATATGCATGGAAGGTTATATGCGAAATAATTGGGTGCCAAAAATAATTTCACGTTCAAAGTTCTAACTTATTTTAAAAAATGACAAAAAAAAATAATTTATATGCATTTCAATATAATTTTCTTAGAAAATTTATTTTTATACCACAATTATTATTTTCAGTTAAAAAAAAACTGTTTTTTTTTAATTAATTAATTGTATTGATAGTTAGATATATTTTTTATTGATAGCAAAACAAAATAAAACAAAACTAAAACTTAAGATGTGACAAATTTGCAATGAAATTAAAAATAAATAAATCAATTAGTATCAAAGTAATTTAAGTATTTTACAATGAATTTAGTTTAAAAAAAGAAGCAAAGTAAATAATTTTAATAATGAAAACTAATTAATGATTTAAAATGTAAATATTTTGCATAGACTGTGACATTGAAAAAGTGAAAAAGCGTAAAATCGAAAAAAGAGAATAAGAAATAAAAATGATGAAAAATAAAAACAGTAATCGGTATGCGTGTATTTTTAAATTGAATTTTATTTCAGGATCGAAAATAGGTTTTGAGAGAGAGAAAGAGAGCGTAGGAATTTACTTCGTTTGAAGAGGATTCAAGCAAATACTCACATCTGTTTCCATCGGCTTCACGCGATGTTTTGTTTTGTTGTTGTTACTTTTTGGTGTTTAAACTAAACAATTTGCCCACAGGATGATAACTAAAGATCGTCAATCCGGACGCGGTATATTTGTATAGGCATGGCGTCGTCTGGCGTCAGAAAAGTTAACTTTGCTTGTCCATCGCACGAGATACTCTAAGAGCAAATGTGTTCTACACAAATTCATTTCAGTATCAAAACTAATTCCAGATCACTTCCCAAAAAAAAATACGTCCTGTCTCACTCTCTGTCTCGTTTATAACACGGATATATCTGGTAGGAATTACCTTGATCTTTATTCTTAGACACGCTTTCCACCCAATTCCTATCCTAATTATTCAATATTTCAACATATTATTAGTTTATTTGTACTTACATTCATCGTATTGGATTTTGATGAATGTTGGTGAAATAATTGAATAAAAGACGCATAGAAATTCATTACTTAATCAACTTGCTTACAAATTACCCAAATCTAGAGAATTTCCTTTATAATTAAGTCATTTGCAACGAAAACCATTACCACTTGGACATTTCTTAATTACAATACTTACATTTTCAAATTGCATCTTTAATCGTTAAATGAAAGTAAAGTAAATCGAAATATTGTTAATCCATTAGGATGTGTCTATTTAGTAATGAGATAGAATCTGTTTTCAACGCATTTAAACAGTTCCGAACTGCACAAATTCGATATAATCGAAGGGAAAACCAGAAACGGGGAAAAGCGCGGTTCGCTCAAACGACTTAATTAATAAATCACAGACAAATGGTGAAACGCTGTGCATCCATTGAAAATGGAGTTGATTAATGCCTTCCAAAATTAATGGAACGATGAAGTTTCAATTAATTGACACTGTTTGTTACGTAACATTTTGCATGCACAAATGTATCAGTCTAGTACATCTATCGAACATTGATTTAAATACGTATTTTGACATAATTGATATTAGATTGAATGGATTAAAAGATGTATATTAAAGCGATTATTCACACTTTGTTTTGGTTTTATCCATTTGACTGTAATTCGCGTTCAAAGTTGAAAAAATGAAAATTTAAAGCTCGAAAATGAAGTATTTTCACATTTCATTGATTTTCTCGAAAACTATAATAGATAGAATGAACCCAAAACATGCATATGCAAGCTGAATGTTTGGGGCATCTAGCAATTATCGATACATTGCTGTGGTTTTAGCCGTTTGGCTGTAATTCGTGTTCAAATTTGAAAAAATGCTCGTAAAAGCAGAATTTTCACATTTCATTGATTTTCTCGAAAACTATAATACATAGAATGAAGCCAATAGATGCATATGAAAGCTGAATGTTTGGGGAATCTATCAAGTATCGATATATTACTGTGGTTTTAACCGTTTGGCTGTAATTCGTATTCAAAGTTAAAAAAAGGCTCGAAAAAGCAGTGCTTTTACATTTCGTTGATTTTCTCGAAAACTATGATACATAGAATTAATCCAACAGA